TCCGTTCTGTGCTCAGCGGCGAACTTGGAAGGGAGAAAAACAGTTAGAGTAAGATTTTGGGCCCCAGCTTAAGGATGAATCCTGTTTGTGCTTTCACACTTGGATATAAGCCGATCGAGGGCTTCACCATTAGACCACGTTGGTATGAGTTTTTTAAATACAACGGCATTGTCGGCTCTGATCACACTTCACTTAGTGCTGACTTGGATATGATGGCGCGTACGCAAAGCATGCCTATACATCAGCCCTAAACAGAGGCTTTCGATTTTTCTGGCTTTACTTTGGAAAAAAGACTTGCCAATAACCAATAAGGGGTGCCTTATAGGGACTACCAAATGTAATATATAACCTACTTGCATTGACTTAATTGCCCTATTTACACCTTCCTTTAATTTATTTGTCATGAGATCTATTCAGTACTTTCCAAGAAGAGCAAAATTGGTGCTGCGGCTGGCAAGCAACAAAAAATTGAAAATTATTGATAACTTTACCTACGCAAATTTTTCTGCAGCAGCTCTCAGGAGGACTTTATGGCTGGAGGCCAGCTGTTTGCGACAAGGAAATTAAAAAAAAGTTGTAAATCGAGCTTCTTAGTAGATCTCACGACAAATTAATGGAATTTGGAATGTGCGTGTTTGTGTTCAAGACCCTGACATGCGCTATGTAGACTTTGGTTAACCGAAGATCATGGCAGAGTACTTCCTTCACAACCTCTCAGGCGGTATTCCTTCCGCGCGTCAGAGGGTGACCATGTCTTTTTCGAAAATCCTCCAGACTGCTGGGGATGCAGCCCATGAGCAGGTTAGTTCATCGATCAACTTATAACTTCATTTAGTAAGAAACTATCGTGTGGTTCCCATTGTGCACTCGAAGCGCGGTCCACTCCAATACTGGCACCTGGTTTTTGGGGGACAGAATGGGTGGAGCATACTGGGGGAAAAATCAGTGCGCAATAATCATGTCAATTAAGAAAGTTACGCGTGTAAGCTGAGGGGTGTTCGCTGACCTTCGACGAGGTCACTGAGGTGCATTTTTTAATGGCTCCAACAACGCCGACTGTATTAACTGCAAGCTTGCGAATATTGGAAATTCACCCTACTTAAAATTTGTAAGTAAGCAATTATTATACATCTTGGCCTTCCAGGCACCCCTCAATAGTTCCCTGTCCTTAATGTGACAAAGTAAATCGAGATTATCAAAAGTTAACCATATAATTTGTTCCTTGCGCTGTGCACTTGTTGTTCAGGGGGTCGGTGAATTGGGCATAAGAACGCTACCTACAGAGGCAAGAGAGACTGGCCTGGTTGTTTCCGACTTTTTAGCCGAGATAGGCAAGAGGGGAGGCGGCAAATGCAATGCATATATGCAACCATTTACAAGAAACTCATGCGTTAGCAACTGGGTTTGCGCCAGATTGCTGAAGCATGCGGTGGCCCTCGTCAAAACCAAAGGTCGAACTGGCTCTTCGCTCACCAGAATTATGACTTTATTCCTCTGATTTTTCGGACTCTTAGTAGAGGGTAAACTAGCTGCGAGACGAGCGACGAATTATCACAAGTGGTTGCCCACACCTACGAAATGGGCCACGCGTTTAACCCCGCAAGGGTAATCACCCGCAAGACAAGCCGGAAATTGATTGAGACCTGGGCCTCCGATGCGAATTCAGTCAATCCGTTCATTGATCTGGCATTGACATACAGAGCACTGCGCAGT